ATCAAGAACTACAAAATCCCAACCAACAACAATAATAACAACAACAACACGACCAAAAACTACAACACCAACAACAAAACCAACAACCGTAACAACAACAAAAACAATACAAACTACAACACCAACTACAACTGCAACAACACCACCAGCAACAACACCAACAACAACACCAAAAACACCCCCAACAAGAACACCAGCAACACCACCAACATCAAAAAACACCACCAATAACAACAGCAACCACACCACTTTCTTGAAAAGCATCGCTAGAGCCAAGTGTATTTGACATGCTACGACTTTGGTCACACCCCAGAAATTAGGATGACTTGGTCTTGAAAGGTAGGTAAACATGTCTAGACTAACTCTTTCCAGGCTCACAAAGATTGTCTCTCCTGTTTCACGTATTTAGTTACATAAAGGTATTTAAAATTATAACTCGGATTCAATGTTGCTTAAAAATAGTTATTTTTTTTAAAACGAAATGATTATTTCGCTCCATGGTTGCTTTTGGTCAGCTTTCAAATTGTGAATAGTTTATTGATTTAATGAAGATGTGAAAACAATAATGGTTAAAAGTGATGAGGCTAAAGTTTAAAAGGAATTGCTGATACGAAGTAAAGGTTTACTAAGCTGATTACGCACACACTGTGCAATGCTTCTTACCACCAGGAAGTAAATCATGGTCGTGCTTAGGCATTATGTTCACTGGGCGGTGTAGATGTGTGGTGTGTTGGTGACTTGGTGATCTAGGTGTATGGTATGTTGGTGACTTTACGATTTAGGTGTATGGTGTGTTGGTGACTGGACGGTCTAGGTATATGGTGTGTTGGTGACTGGGCGGTCTAGGTGTATGGTGTGTTGGTGACTGGGCGGTCTAGGTGTATGGTGTGTTGGTGACTGGACGATTTAGGTGTATGGTGTGTTTATGACTGGACGGTCTAGGTATATGGTGTGTTGGTGACTGGACGGTCTAGGTGTATGGTGTGTTGGTGACTGGGCGCTCTAGGTGTATGGTGTGTTGTCGACTGGGCGGTCTCGATGTGTCGTGTGTTGGTGACTGGGCAGTCATCCACATACCACACAACCACTGTGGGCGGTGTAGGTGTATGGTGTGTTGGTGACTGGACGATTTAGGTGTATGGTGTGTTTGTGACTGGACGGTCTAGGTGTATGGTGTGTTGGTGACTGGACGGTCTAGGTGTATGGTGTGTTGGTGACTGGGCGCTCTAGGTGTATGGTGTGTTTTCGACTGGGCGGTCTCCATGTGTCGTGTGTTGGTGACTGGGCAGTCTAGGTGTATGGTGTGTTGGTGACTGGGCGGTCTAGGTATATGATGTGTTGGTGACTGGGTGGTTTAGGTGTATGGTGTGTTGGTGACTGGGTGGTCTGGGTGTATGATGTGTTGGTGACTGGGTGGTCTAGGTGTATGGTGTGTTGGTGACTGTGTGGTCTAGGTGTATGGTGTGTTTTCGACTGGGCAGTCTCGATGTGTCGTGTGTTGGTGACTGGCTGGTCTAGTTGTGTGGTGTTTTGGAGACTGGTCGATCTACGTGTTAGGTGTATTGCGACTCTTCAAACGATATGTCTGGAGTGTTGGTTACTGGTCTATAATTATGTTTTTGCTGACGTGGTGACTGGTCGATGCGAGTGAGGAGTGTGCTGTCGACTGTTTCATCTGTGTGTTTGTTGTTTAGGGTAAATGGATAAAAAATGTGTGTGTTGTTGACTGAAAATTATGTTTCTTGTACGTGTTCTTAAATGGAATATATGTGTGTCTGGTGTGTTGGTGTTTACATCTCACATTGTTCTCATCATTTGACAACATTGTGCGTTGCTGGTAAAAGTTGAAAGAAACAGGCAGCTGAAAGTAATTCTGGACGCAAGTGTCATGGACTAACGCCAAATGCATGGACGTAAAAGTCATGGACTGACGCCGATTGCCTGGACGTAAAGGTTATGGACTGACGCTGAACGTCTTGGCATAAAGATCAAGGAATGAATCCAAGTGCTTACACTAACAGATGTTTGTCAAAATATAAAGGGTCATGTATGTTCAAGGTAACTGTCATATCAATGTGTCAGGAGGTCTCCAAAAGTCCCTTTCCGACTCTGAACTTTTATGAAAATAATAAGACCAACGATTCTTGTAAGTGGAAACAACTCTTCATTGACATTTAACTGAATTAAAAGAATGAGAAATAAAATATTCACGAATTTCATGAACATATTTACTAAGTCTATGAACATATTTACTAAGTCTATGAACATATTTACTAAGTCTATGAACATATTTACTAAGTCTATGAACATATTTACTAAGTCTATGAACATATTTACTAACTCTATGAACATATTTACTAAGTCTATGAACATATTTACTAAGTCTATGAACATATTTACTAAGTCTATGAACATATTTACGAAATACCTGCGTATAGAAGAGTGGAATCGATAATATTGTTGAACTTTGCCCTTTTACTTTTCACTTCAGAAAAAAATTGTGGGTTCAAATCTTTTTTGGCGATACCGCAATGCCAACCCCCTCTGTTAAGATCATGTCAAGGTTTCAGACCCTCGCTCTAACAATCATGTCAAGGAAAAGTTTTTCCCGTCACTAAGTTGTCAAATGCAGCGATCCCCAAATGGCGGTTGTCAGACCATTACCGGTCTACAGACCCAATGCTGCTGGTATCCATGGCATAAACATTTATGGTCAAATAGAAATAAAAGTATAGTAAATAAACCATGCACCATTCCATGTTGATGTTTTTGAAACATGTCCACCGGTCCGCAAAACTTAAAAAATAGGGAAATGCTGATCTAGAGGACCAGGAAACTCATTTCACTGATCCGTCGCTAATATCAGCAATTTTTTGTTGTTGTTTTTTTTTGTTGTTTGTATTGTTATGATAACAGAATAGTCCTGTCAGGGGCTGGAAAACCTAGTAGGTTAAGGTTAGAGAGGATTATAACATAACATCCGCAACCACTTGTTTTAGTGTCGAGGGGGGAGGGGTGGGTAGCAATAGAAGCTAGTATCGTTTTCATTACAGAATCGAACTGTACGATTAGGTTTCATATGGAGAGTGCGAGCAAAGCTAGTATCGTTTTCATTGAAGACTTGAACTATACCATTTATTTCATTTGTACCATAGGCAGAAACATCAGAGGTCGTTTGGGACAACTCTTGCCCCCCCCCTCCCCCCCCCTAAAAAAACCCCACATGGATATGAGGTGTGATGTTAATGGGAACTAAGTTATGCGGGTGGGTGCCTTGAGTAATATTTCTGCAACGGAAACTGTCAAGAGACAACAAAATGTTGTATGTGCTGTGTTTGTGTGTGGATTATGTTTGGCCAAACATAATTTTTGAAGTTTTCTTATTATTATCATCATTTATCCCTGATTTTTTTCGTTATTGTTGAATAAAGTGCCAACGTAATGATGATCGTTGAAAAGTAACTCAAACGTGTTTCAACATTTATGATAATAAATGTGGTTAAACAAATTTGTATTATTTTTTTTTTAAAGAAATATTTGAAATTGAAAAACTTGAGTGTTCCCAGATCACAATGTAGCTGTCCGAGTCTCCTTCATTGTGACCAGAGGACACTCAAATATCTCAATTTCAAATACTTTTGTTTTTTCATGTTTTCTTGTATTTTTTGTTTTTTCTGTTGAAGAAGTCGTTTAGCCAAAACGTCCTTAACAGTTGCTTATTTCTTTTTTCAAAGCCTTAATATCTCTTGATTAATTATTATCTATAGATTAGTGAGATTTCTAAAAAAAATAAAAAACAAAAACAAAAAACCAAAACAAAAAACCAACTAAAATAGCTAAAAATAATGCATATTACATTTTAGCGATAAAACCAGGACGTCATTTCTAGACTCAGCTGTGCACGTACGCATTGATTTAAAACATATTTATAGCATGAGATTTATCCGGGTTTAAGTAGCGTACTTGATTGTTCATACTGAAAGTGATCCTGTTTTAAAACATAAATGGACATTTGACAAATTTGAGGGTCCCATTAAAACGTTTCACTTACTACAGGATGCGCCAAAATTACCAATGTTGAATCTCCTGCCAAAATTACCAATGTTGAATCTCCTGCCAAAATTATCAGGACTGAAACTCCAGGCAAAATTAGCAGTACTGAAACTCCTGCCAAAATTATCAGGACTGAAACTCCAGGCAAAATTAGCAGTACTGAAACTCCTGCCAAAATTTGCAGGACTGAAACTCCAGGCAAAATTTGCAATACTCAAACTCCTGCCAAAATTATCAGGACTGAAACCCCTGCCAAAATTAGCAGTACTGAAACTCCTGCCAAAATAATCAGTACTAAAACTCCAGCCAAAATTAGAAGTACTGAAACTCCAGGCAACATTATCAATACTGAAACTGAATGTTAGACCATCCCAAGGAATGGCATCTGTATATCAACCAATGGTATGTTCTTGGAATTTTCTGCCTCCATTTTTTTCAAACATTATTCTCCTCATCACAAACACCTACTCAATTTCTTTTGCATACGAGCGGACACAGCGCTCATCTATGGAGTGTGCTTCCTCCCGATGAGCGTCCCATCTTTTAACAACACCCAGCCAACCCAACACCCTTCACAGGCCGGGGAACACGTGGCATCTTGAGCTACGCAGCGTTGAATTTTGAACGAACACGTTCGAGATGCGGCAGTTTCATGTCTGATATTTTTAACGCATGCTGTATTCGACGTGATTTCATTTATTAAATAAAAATAACTCCTTTTGACATCATGTCATCTCTCAATAAAATTCTTTTGCCACAGTGTCATCTTCCAAAAAAATGTCATCGTGATGTCATGTCACCTCCCATTAAATTCATCGTGACACGAAGCGCTCTACCAAACTTTAACACTGTTTCCTTGCACTTGAGCCAAAGTGTCTCTAAGTAGCCTCTGGGGTTAATCCTCGACATTACATCCTTAAAAAAACATTTGACCAAATCACAACCAAGTTTCCGAAAAAAAGTGAAACAGGACCTTCGTTGCCGACCAGAGCGTCAGTGGGGGGGGGGCGTGGGGGAGTTAGATAAGGAGAACAGCTTAAGATGAACGGTTGTTCACTTGGTATAAAAGAGAAGATGTTTGTTCAAATTAGTTATAAATTTTGATACTTAATTAAGGAGTTCTTTTTATTTCGTAACGTGATAACATTGTGGTAGACATCAGTGACTTAGAGGTGAGTACATAACAGCTTGTTTAATTATGGTCATCAGGGGTGGACTGGGGAGTTCAAGCGGCCCACCAGGGATGGACTGGGGAGTTCAAGCGGCCCGGGAAAAAATCAAAAAGCGGCCCTATCTTCATGACTTTTATCTGTATTATATCACCGGTCCTACCGGCCCATCGGGAATCTTCCCGGTGTCCCGGCGGCCAAGTCCACCCTTGATGGTCATTGTTAAGATTCGTTATAAATAAAATATAATTAATGTTAAGTGTTGGGTTTACATTCTTCTGTGCACTTATTTCCTCTAATTTGAGACGATTCATGACAGAAAATATTTGATTATAACCCGTTTAAAACTAATTTGAGAATGTTTCGTATTGTTTTTCAACAGAAATACAGATGACCTAGATTATGTGTAATTGTTTAAAGGAAATGTAAAGGGAAATCTAAGTTTTGAAAAAATAAATGTAAAATTTAAAAAAAAATTACCTTAACTATTTCATAATTTTCGACAATCATTTTTTAATATTGAATTTGAAAAATGAAAGTTAAATCCTTCTAAAATTGTTACTTCTTTGCATCATATTTCTTTCTATTTAAAAAAAAAATAATAATCTAATTACTGACTGATTCGTGTTATTACGTTAACACAAATTTAATGTTACTGTTTTATGTTAAATCATTCGCCCAGATGTCCGACAAAGAACAGAGACAGACAAATTCCTTAAGTCTGCAGTTGAAACTATTAAAAAGTCAGAGGGCACAGCTGCAGTCAGTTGTTGACTATATCAACAGTGTAAGAAAGTTGAAAAAATGAGAGTTTTAGTGCTTACCAGACTCACATGATTAGGCCGTACATATTTGAAAAAAAATATATTAAAATCCTTCCATCATAACTTTTCATAGAGCAAAATAAATGTTATTTACTTTATTTATGTCACATTTTGAAAAAATTATATTTATTACACATTTTAATTGCTCCATATATTTATGTATATTCAGATGTAACATATAGACTAAATGTTTTTTAAATAAAAACCTTTAATAAATGAATTAACAGCTTTAACAAGACATAATTCCCAGACTTAAAACATCAGAGTATTGAGTTATCTTTTCTTGTATTAAAATGATGAAGAAAATTCTTTCTCTCATCCGTAATAGACGTATACGTCTATTTCTCTCTTTATATTTCTTATTTATGATGTTTGAGCTCGATTGTATCGGCCGCAACATAGGGAATATTTCCCAACTCTTTCGGTTTCTCTTAAGAAAAACTTTTTAAAATTCTTTTTTATAAAAATTTCGAAATTATTTACGACTCAGTTCTTTAAAAAAAAACAAATTCTTTTAATAATACTCACATCCCCAAATTCAATTAAGGAATGCAAACATCCACGTCGATTAAAATCTGACCGTCTCTTCATTTAAGGTGTTAGCCGACAGTGAACAGTGGAAGTCATCAGGAGACGAGAGCCAAGCTGACGTGAAGGAGATGAGCCGAAACATTGAACAAGCGTCCGAGTTTGTTGCACAAAAATGCTTGGAAGTATCGGGTAAGTCGTAAAGTAATTAAAAGAACTTCTACAAACTTTGCAGCTCATGACATTTTTTTTTTTTTTAAAATTGATGTTTCAGGTGAGTTCGTCAGAATGTGAAGAGATTTTACATTTGTAATACAATAAGTTGATTTTAACCAATAAAAGTTAATACGAGGCAACATTTATTTGGAAAATCGTGGCGCGAATTGTTGAAGATAAAATATAGAGCATGATGGCAGCAACTCTAGCGAGAGCGAAGAAATTTAATAAATATGACATAATTTACATTTATTTAGTTTTGTACGTGAATTTAAAAAGGTAAGTTCCATTAACCTTCACTACAATAGCAAAATCATTTGTTGATTATTTTACCGAAACTATTAAAATTTGACATCTTCAGGCAATGGCGTGATACAGGGTATACTGGACAGGCTTGCTGCTCTTGAAGAAACGATTTCATGTCAAGAAAATATTCCAGGGTCCAAAGTGGATTTTTTACAGGGTAACGGTGTAAACCTACAAAAGCGGACAGGCAACAATGGTCATCGAAACTTCTTTCATGACAAACCCAGCTTTGATCTAGTCTTTAAAATTCAAGAGGAAACAGGACCAACCCTAGCAATCGACCTGGAAAGGCAGAACCAAGATGTCAATCAGCCGGACTTACTGGTCAGTCAAATGGGTCAGTTCATCCACCAACTAAAATCCCAGGTCGATAATGTAACCACCACTCTAACGTCATTGAATGAGATGACTCTAGGTCTCTCTAAGTCCGTTAAAGACTCGGAGGAAACGCTGGAGTCAGTCACTAAAAGAACTTTAGATCTAGAAGAGTCTCTGTATGGTTCTCAAGTTAATTATCGACATGGACCTAAAGCGAGCCAGCAAATTGACCCAAGCAGAGACACCAAATACTCACGTTATGATGAAATTGTTAAAGATTTATCATTGAAGGTACTACTTGTAAAGAAAATATAGTAAAATGGATGTGATTAGTAGAACAAGGCATATGTGGAAGCTTGAATTAAAATACTGGAAAATAAGATAACAACGTTTTGGCTTAGAGACTTCCTCGGCAGGCAGGACAAACTTCCAAATACCTTGTTCTACTATTTCCTTCACAAAGTTGGAATGCAGTCCAATGTTTATTTTTGGTAAAATGCGTATAGACAAATGTTTAATGTATTTTAAAGTGTCGCATAGAGCTAGTTAGCAATATTATATTTTAAGATTACACAAGGCCGTAAAACCCTTAAATTACTTTTCTGATCATAGTCTTTAAGACTCGATGGAAGGGATTTTGAGTTGGTGGGATGGGTAACTTGGTTAAAGTGTAACTTAATTTATCAACTTCCTAAAAAAGTGTAGCTTAAATTTAAACGAACTTAGAACTTTTATTTTTCCTATTATTTTTTTAGACATCACCCAAAACAATGGTTTTAGAAGATCCAATGATATAGTTGTGCAGTTAAGAACATCCAGTTTTAGAAACTTCAAAAAAAAAATGGGGAAAGACAAAAATATCAGTCTATGCACTTGCAGAATAAGTACAGCTGATGCCGATTTGAAATGGTTTACACCTCAAACAATATGAAATAATGCATACCACAAACAACCTGAAATCGTGTACACCAAAATCTATCTGAATATGTGTACGCTAAAATTTATCTCAAATAGTGTACATCACCAACAATCTGAAACGGTATTTAAACCACAAACAATTTGAAAGAGTTTAGGCAAAAATATATCTCAAATAGTGTATATTATCAACACTATGAAATAGTGTACAACTCAAATAATCTGAAATGGTGTACACATCAAACAATCTAAAAAGGTGTACACCATAAACGATCTGAAATGATGAACATCACAAACAAACTGAAAATGTTAACTTGTTTTTAAACAAAATAGAATTCCAGACCATTTTCTTCTATATTTCCAGTTTGAGATTCTGTCCAGTCAAGTGCAAGGAATTACAAGATTGACGGTGAACGGGGGTATGTAATAAAACCATAGATTAAATAATGCTTTTTTAAATCGTGTAGCAATGGAAACCTGTACAATGCCTCTTAGATGTATCAAGGAGATACAAACAATTTGTGGAAATAAAACAATATAAGTTAAATTTTAATCATGGTAACACGGAATACAACATTGTAAACGTTTTATCAAATGCATTCATAACAGTACAATACAAAAGTCGCATTGTTAGTATAAATTTTAAATCACAATATACCTACATTATGTATCTATTTTTAATTCCCAACATAAAAAGAATGAAAGAAAAGAATAATAGTGCACACAAGTCTCTCACAGAAAGCAAAGCTCAAAAGAGCGGAAAGGAAGTGGGTGGAAGTAAAATTTAAAACGCCAAAAGAATAATACACAAAATCATTACACATAATATGTCAAATTATGAATTCTTAGTTTTATTATACCCCAGTATCGTTTTGAGACGGGTTGGATGACATATAATTATTTGAAAGAGAAAATGCCAAGATTTCTTTTGGTATTGGACCAGTCCTTTGACACGCTAACAGAAATGCAACCCTCCCCTAGGCTGCAGATTAAAAAAAATGGATGTGTCTCAAAATTTCTTCCGAAGTCCTGAATATTTTTGGAGTTCTTGTTTAATCTCCCAAAACGCACAACTTCAATAGATGGGGAGGGAGGATGAGGTATTTATGTGCACCTCATATGTTATGTGTTGTATGTTGCTTCTTTTTATGAGTGAAGGGTGGCGTAGTCAAGTACCGCCACACGCTTTAAAAACTCCATCTACTCCACATATTCAAACTCTTTGATATGCCTTGAGCGACTGAATGTCAGAGCCTTAGATGAACACTTTTATTTTTCATGACTGGACTTCTGTATGGCAGAGCCTTAGATAAACTTGATGTAATATCTAGACAACTGAATACCAGAACCTTAGATAAACATGATTTCTTATTTATACTACTGAATGTCAGAGCCTTCGATTAACACGATGTCATATTTTCTTTAAACTTTACAGAAGATCCCACTGCGAACAGTCGACCAGCCTTCTCGGCTTTCATCTGTAGCTACTCTCCGGCGGAACAAGGCGCGAACATCAGAAGTTTCACCGACGTAAGGTGTAACTTTGGGGGGCATTTCAACGCATCCACGAGTGAGTTCACGGCCCCGGTGTCCGGCGTCTACGCCGTCAGCATGACCTTATGTTTGCTTAAAGACGGTCGGGTCAAGGTCAACGTGGTCAACACGACGGCGGATGGTTTGCGCGAGAAGAAGGTGTGCGAGGCTTACACCTGTGGCGCTAACGTCAGCTCCACCAGCTTCGGGGTGGCAGAGATGAAGGCGGGAAGCAGGCTGTCGGTCAAGTTGGTGTTCTCGACAGGAACATCACTACTGTCAGATTTTTCTAGCTTTTCTTGCTTTAGGATTGGATGAAAAGTAACTCCAAAAGATGGAACTATTATTTCTCTATCTATTTATTTATTAAAAATACAAAGTGTTGTTAAATTTTTAATTTTTTAAAATATTATTTGTAAGAAAAACTCTATTTTAAGTTATCTCTCTCCAAAACTAAATATTATTTGTAAGAAAAACTCTATTTTAAGTTCTCTCTCTCCAAAACTAAATATTATTTGTAAGAAAAACTCTATTTTAAGTTATCTCTCTCCAAAACTAAATATTATTTGTAAGAAAAATTATATTTTAAGTTATCTCTCTCCAAAACTAAATATTATTTGTAAGAAAAACTCTATTTTAAGTTCTCTCTCTCTAAAACTAAATATTATTTGTAAGAAAAACTCTATTTTAAGTTATCTCTCTCCAAAACTAAATATTATTTGTAAGAAAAACTCTATTTTAAGTTCTCTCTCTCCAAAACTAAATATTATTTGTAAGAAAAACTCTATTTTAAGTTATCTCTCTCCAAAACTAAATATTATTTGTAAGAAAAACTCTATTTTAAGTTATCTCTCTCCAAAACTAAATATTATTTGTAAGAAAAATTATATTTTAAGTTATCTCTCTCCAAAACTAAATATTATTTGTAAGAAAAACTCTATTTTAAGTTCTCTCTCTCTAAAACTAAATATTATTTGTAAGAAAAACTCTATTTTAAGTTATCTCTCTCCAAAACTAAATATTATTTGTAAGAAAAACTCTATTTTAAGTTATCTCTCTCCAAAACTAAATATTATTTGGCCTTAACCTTTGAATTTGCATTTAAAGATTGTAAAATTCTAATAATAATCCAAGTGTTATTTGGTGGGATGAAATTCCAAAATAAAAACAACTAAATTTTACCGTATAATTTGGTTTTAAATGGGACTTGTTATTTTACAAAATATATAAGTTATTGGCAATAAATCTGAATATCTTATAATTGAATGTTTGCCTTGTAAGAGAATGTTTCGTCTTAAAGGTGAGTGTTTCCATACTGAGCTATAAAGCTGTTTGTTGTGACCATCAGAGTTTGTCACGCAGTTTAAAAACCAAACAAAAATGTTTGATCCACTAATCGCCATGCATTGTGTAAGTGAACAGGTCAGATGAGTCCCATAATGTCGACATCTGGTATGACAGAACAACCTATCGACTTAGTGACAGTGACACTGATGATTTCAACCTGGTGTCGAAGGACATTGTATTACGCCAGTAAAACTTTTGTCTAAATGAAGCGTGGATGTTTCAAAAGGATACCAATATAAATAAATTCGTTAAAAAATAAATTTATGCATATAAGTATATTTTCATATATGTATAGTTGTACATGTGTATATGTGTTTATTTGTGTATCTGTATATTTGTTTATGCGTATATGTGTATTTGAATGTATCGGTAAATGTGTATATTTCTATATTCGAAAATGTGTATTTGTATATGTGTATATTTGTATATGAGTATATGTGTATATAGAAGACACAGAAGATCAATGGCAACATATTAGAGGTATTTTAAGAAACACACGCCAATAGGTATTAGGGAAGAAAGAATATCAACATAAGGAATGGTTCTCAAAAGAAACAATGTTCAAAATGAAAGAGAGGAAAAGAAAGAAGATAATTTAATAAGAGATCAAAACAAGAGCAGCAAAAGTGAGCACAGCTTTTGATAACTAGGCAAATGCCAATAAAGAGGTTAAAAAGAACACCAGGCAAGATAAAAGGATATTTAAAGCTTAGAAGGCTGAGGAGGCTGCATTAAAATATAACCTAAGGGACCTACCTGTACATTTGCATCAAAGAGGCTGCATTAAAATATAACCTAAGGGACCTACCTGTACATTTGCATGAAAGAGGCTGCATTAAAATATAACCTAAGGGACCTACCAGTACATTTGCATCAAAGAGGCTGCATTAAAATATAACCTAAGGGACCTACCTGTACATTTGCATGAAAGAGGCTGCATTAAAATATAACCTAAGGGACCTACCTGTACATTTGCATCAAAGAGGCTGCATTAAAATATAACCTAAGGGACCTACCTGTACATTTGCATGAAAGAGGCTGCATTAAAATATAACCTAAGGGACCTACCTGTACATTTGCATGAAAGAGGCTGCATTAAAATATAACCTAAGGGACCTACCTGTACATTTGCATGAAAGAGGCTGCATTAAAATATAACCTAAGGGACCTACCTGTACATTTGCATCAAAGAGGCTGCATTAAAATATAACCTAAGGGACCTACCTGTACATTTGCATGAAAGAGGCTGCATTAAAATATAACCTAAGGGACCTACCTGTACATTTGCATGAAAGAGGCTGCATTAAAATATAACCTAAGGGACCTACCTGTACATTTGCATAAAAGAGGCTGCATTAAAATGTAACCTAAGGGATCTACCTGTACATTTGCATGAAAGAGGCTGCATTAAAATATAACCTAAGTGACCTACCTGTACATTTGCATCAAAGAGGCTGCATTAAAATATAACCTAAGGGACCTACCTGTACATTTGCATCAAAGAGGCTGCATTAAAATATAATCTAATGAATCTACCTGTACATTTGCATCAAAGAGGCTGCATTAAAATATAACCTAAGGGACCTACCTGTACATTTGCATCAAAGGGGCTGACAGGAAAGTTTCATCAGCAAAGCAGGCCAATCCAATTGTTAAAAAAAGTAAACAACAAATATTAACAAAAAGATAAGATGGCCTAGAATATTTCAAATAAATACTAGAAGGTCAGCTCCACAAGAGCCACCTCAAATTATGCCTTTCAGAAGAATATCTACTCATTAGCTGCAATGTACCCAACACCACAGAAATGAAAAATGTGTTAAGACTATTGAACCATTGAAAGGCTGGTGGGTCTGATGGAATACCTGCAGAAGTAATAACGATAGACCTGGAACTGTAATCAAGCATGCTTCTCCAGCTAATTGTGACTGTCTAAGAAAAAGAAGAGAGACCCATGGAGTGGAGGGAAGGATACTTGGTAAGACTTCCAAAGCATGGAGATCTCCAAAAGTGTGGAAACTAAAGGAATAATTATCCATAGGTATTTAATATAATAAATATATATTCTTACGAGTTAAGGCCCGTTTCTGTGTGTTCAGTGTCCCATTAGCCTCACCGGATCGACTTATCACTTTTAAAGTAAGAAAAACCTGTTGTGGCATGACCAAATTACCTACTGTAGGCCAGACGACTCGAAATGAGTGTAAAAGACTGGCACCTCGATCCTAAGAGAGGAGAGAGACCAAATGAGGATCATTCGGATCCTATTGATACCTGGTTAGCCTTCAGTTGCATTTGCTAAGCACTAAATGGGGCCATTCAATCTTTAGAAGAAATATTAATTCCAGGAATTTAGACATGTGAAAGTATTTTTTTTTAAATATTATTATTACTGTTAGTGTGAGATTTTTGTTGCAGTTAGTGTTTGACCTGCATTCATATCATTATATGCATTTTTTACGTCTCGTTATTCATATCATAATCAATGTAATAAAGTATATTTATATAGAGCGCTGATTGTCTTTCTTATATCCGTGATAGAGAAGATAAAGACGTAAGTCACTTACATTATTTGTGTTTTTGTTATAGGTAGGTAAGATTTTTTTTCAATACATATATATATATATATATATATATATATATAAATATATATATATGTGTGTGTGTGTGTATATACATATATTTATATAAGTGACTTAAGTCTTTATATTTTCTATAACGGATCTCTTGAGCATGATTGTCACTGAACGGACAGCAATAAAATGTCAAAGCGAGGGGCAGAACAGCAGGAAAACAGTAATATTTGAATATAGTTACAGTGGGATACAGATCGAGGAAGGATACATGCCAGGCAGTGGTTTTCGTCAAACCGAGGTACAGCGAAGCATTATGCAATGATTTCAGGATATAGCCCAAGTGGGATACGGGCCCAGCAGGATACGTGCCAAGCAGCGGTTTTAGTCAAAGGGGGGATTGGGGGGGGGGGCAGCACAGCAGAATGGCGTGTCTGCAAAATAGAGGCTCATTGGAATGCCGGCCCAGCAGTACACAGGCCATATAGCGTTTTACCGTCAAACTGAGGTACATCACAGCTAGATGCAGTGATTACAGGATGGAGGCCTAGTGGGCTAAGCACCCAGTGGGAAACATTCACGACATTACTCAGATACAATCGCATGAATCCACTGCAGTATAGCGTAAAAATGGCTCATTCGGGATGTAGGGCAGCAGTAAACGCCCACACAGTTACAGGACTATCAGAATACAATCAGACGATGCAATCCTACTTACCCAGCCTAATCCCGGACAAGCCCCCAAAAGTTACGAACCGGTTCTTACTAGGTTTCGATGGCTACGTTTGTCTAGGGGTTATTATATTTATCAAAGAAAGAAACTCGATAAAATAAAGTATACTAATTAACACGACTAAAATGCATCGTCAAATGCCAATACTCAATCACAACAAACGCTCTACACAACGAATACGTTGGATGTATACACATTTATACATTTACTAATTCCCCACCGCCAACCAACAACCCTCGTGACAACCCCATGTTGAGTAACCAGTCAGCAATGATGATAGCCCAATACGACCTAGACATTATATTTGTTCCTCAAGTATTCTATTTTAAGATTTATTTGCGCTCCAGATTATATCAGTTTCATTTCCAATGAGCGGGATACGCCTATGAGAAAGGCCTATTATCAATTGTGAAAGGTGGGCAATTTTTTTTTTTTTAAAACAGGGGTGTTAAACCATGTGTTCAGTGCTCAGGTTGGGCGTCGAACAAAACAAGGTTGGTCAACACTGACCTAAATGTTATAGCATGTAAGCATGATATCATAAGCCATTGTCGTGCTGAGGCTACTGCCCGAGACGAGTGTAAGAGGATTGCCAGAATTTCATACAAAGTAAGATGCACTTTTTCAATTACGAATAGCAGTTCAAAAAGTAGGAAAGACTACAATGTTAAAATCGTCAATAATAAATCTGCCATAAATCTGCCATAAATCTGCCATAAATCTGCCATAAATCTGCCATAAATCTGCCATAAATCTGCCATAAATCTTCCATAAATCTGCCATAAATCTGCCATAAATCTGCCATAAATCTGCACAATAAGAAACATTTTCTGCTCTTTCTCTCTATCTCTATCCCTCTCTCTCTCATTTTCTCTCTCTCTCTCTCTCTCTCTCTCTCTCTCTCTCTCTCTCTCTATTTCTCTCTCTCTCTCTCTCTCTCTCTCTCTCTCTCTCTCTCTCTCTCTCTCTCTCTCTCTCTCTCTCTCTCTCTCTCTCTCTCTCTCTCTCTCTCTCTCTCTCTCTCTCTCTCTCTTTCTTTCTTTCTGAATATATATATATAATAATAATAATAACGTTTTTTGTGAAAATCACTTTTCATCGCAAAATGCCCGAAGCGCGGTACAAGGTCAACCACATTAAAAGAAAGAATGAAAAAAATCTGATACCACATTGAAATACAAAAAGTGACATTACAAAAACTAAATACGACAATACCCATTCTAATTCTTTCATCCCTACAAACATAAACAAAACGTGCCTATATACATCTAGGAGATAATAGCCATCTGTAAAAGATGATAGACAACATAACTTCAACAGGTGTTTGCGAAATAGATGTTTTTTTTCAATTCGGTTTTGAAAGACTCTAGTGTCTGGCTGTTTCTCAGAGCGCCATGAAGTGTGTTCAAAATTGTTGGGCCAGCAAATGCGAAAATGAGCCTTCTGTAAGTCTCAAGGCGAACACACGGTATCGATATTTTGCCACTATCGGATGAGCGGAGCTGTCTAGTGGGTAAATAAGGTGTCATGAGTGATTTCAGATAAGCCGTTGCCAGGTCATGTAAGCAGCGGTAGCACAAAGTTGCAATTTTGTACTCTATGAGAACGCGGACTGGCAGCCAGTGCAGCTCTCTCAGAAGTGATCTAGCATGGTCGCATTTGCGTTTGCGAAGAACAATGTGAGCCGCATTATTTTGTACTTTGACTTTTATCCAGGAGCGTAGCTGGGAGACCCACCATGAGGGCATTGCAGTAGTCCATGCGTGATAGCACGAATGCAGACATCAGCCTCTTTGTTGCATCAAACGTTAAGAAAGGTCTACTATGACAAATCCAACGCATCTCTAGAAAAATCGCCTTGCAAGGCTTGTTAATGTGATTTTCAGTAACTAGTATTCTGTCTAAATAGACACCCAGGTCTCGCAC